ACTGGACAGTTTGACTACTGGAAGCAGGAGTCCCGCAAGGATCAGTCCTTTCACCACACCTCCTCTCCTTATATATGTGCCCAAACCTGAGAACAACTTCAACACATTGGCGCTCTACGCGGACGACACGGCCCTGCTGGCGAGATCCACGAGCCAAGTACATGCCACAAGGTACTTGCAACAACAGGCGAACAGATTAGAGGAGTGGGCCAATCTGTGGAAGATCAGTATAAGATCAGACAAGAGTCAGGCGATACTGTTCACTCGCAGGGTTGTACAACCGGAAGGCAACGTCACCTTCAACGGACAAGAGATTCCGTGGACCAACAAAGGGACATACCTGGGGGTCACCTTAGACAGGAGATTAACATTTCAGTCTCATGTATGGCAGAGAATCGGAATGGCCAGACACGCCAGACAACGACTGGCACCAATCATAGGACGCAGAAGCAACATGGGGTTGAAAGTGAAGTTGCTAATGACGAAAACCGTTCTCATGTCCATAATACAGTATGCATGCACTGCCTGGGGCCAGTGCGCACAGGCATACCGGAAGTGAATACAGTCGTTCATGAACGCGAGCGTAAGGGTTGTCGTGAACGCACCGTACTACATCCTCAACAGATTTATATACAGAGACTTAGATCTGGACACGCAATATGTGGACGTGTATATGAGAGAACACGCAGAAAGCGTGTTTGATATAATCAGATCGCACAACAATCCAGCGCTATGCGATCTACACGATGCGTTGAACATGGATGACCTCAGGTTCCAAGAAAGGGACAAACACCCAAGGCCGACGAAACAGAATCTACGACCACTCCCACGAGTCGCCGTCAGGCGACTTCGGTAAGCATATTAATCAGATTTTCTTTCAGCAAGTTCACCGCAAAACAACTCGACCGCGATACAATTATCCTTAGATTTACTGAGGAACGCCCGACGCTAATAACAATAGCCGACATAACACTTCAACCGATCGCAAAAGAAAAGCACCTAAAGGCTGGCTTTCGACCAAAAGAGATCAGATGTCAATCTTGCTGAAGTGCCCATCAGTAAGATGAGGACCGCTCGGAGAGCGGAGGTGGATGGTTCTCCTCGCTAACTAGCTGGGGGGGGGGGAAGCTTCTACTTCAGGGCACTCAACCCGGAAGGGGGCATGGGGGGCCGTTGAAGTTTTGATTCATGAGAAGTTCCTATCCCACTTGGGGCTCTGTTCACGAGATGGAGCTGTTAAAGTCATCAATCTATAAATGTTGCAATGAATGAAAGAGAGTATTGCTCTTATCAGTGGTATTGTGGAAAGAAAAGTGAAGCATGTTTTATAGGGATAGAAGGGCAAGTAGTTACAACGAAATGGCTTCAGAAGATATCCCTGGTTATTATGTCAGTGTATCTATTAGAACAGTGAAGGAGATAAAAAATAATAAACCATTTCATGATAATTTCCATTTGTACTAGTGACTTGAAAATATGTATAAATCCTTTTCTGGATGGATTATTAGGACGTAAGTGCCGTCACTCAGATATTTACCCACCATTTGGAAATGACGAAACCTACTATACAAAAACCACAATTATGCTGAAATAAAGTATTATCACGACGGTCACTGTTAACATTATTATTTTTGACAAGTATTCGTGTAGTATGTTGATAACTAACAATTCCTAAAATTAGAATTTTGAAAATTTCTGTAGTATATTTTACTATTATTTTTTAGGAAGAATGTCAATTTTGTTACGTAATCAACAATGTTCAAATTAAAAAAAAAATTAATAATAACTCTGAAAGTGGTGTTGCTTTGCTTGCGTTGTTAAATTTGCCTCAATGAAAAAATTAAAAATATTACGTAATTCCTATTCTGGTGAAATTATAATGATGAAAACGATGTTATATACCCAGGTCCTGACCTCTATGGAATACAAACAGAATCAAAGTAAATGCTTTGAGAGCCAATTTTCTTTAAACTACATTCTTCTGTCGATAGTTTGTTTGGTCATGGTTTATATATTGTTCTCCATAATGAATGATCATATAATATGGCGCCTGCATATTTTCTGGACATTGGAGGTAAAATTGCCCAATGTAATTTCTGCAGTCGACTGAAGTGATTCTTTTCAGATAATGTAAAGATTTTATTCCAATTTTTTCATTCTTGAAATTTACCAGAAATCAGAGTAATCAAATCTCTTGAGATTTATAACGACAGAGATTTATAATTATTTTTTATAGTGCTAGAGACTTGAAAGCAGCTGAAATTCAAAGCCAAATGAGCGAAGTTTATATTGAAAACATCATGAGTGATGGAATGGTACGTGAATATTTTAGGTATGGCCGCAAAAACATTCACGATGAGGAACGAAGAGGACGACCTTCTGTCATTTGGCTAGGCACCGCTCTAAGATCTCCTCGGCATTTCCTGTAGTGCTTGTATTTTGTCTTAAAAAACGAAGTCAAAATGACCGTTCTGCAATACAGCTTAGCATATCTAACTGTAAATATTGAATGTGCAGCAGATTAGCCGGCGGAGTGGGGCGAAAGCTCATTAACATCGGGGAATTTGTGTAACGCACATCTTATTAGTAAAGTGAGGGGATACAATATTTTGTGTGTTGAAATGTGAGTTATTTGTTGTCTCTGTAAATGCCTTCGACCAATGACATGAAAAACGAGGTTCTCAGTGGAAGAAGCAGAGAAATTGTGAACAACGTATTGAGATTTATACAAGCGGAAGCAACGGCAAACGGAAATAAATTTGTCTTTCGGAAGTAAGAAGTAATAGTAATCATAAATAAAATAGTAACTGAAATTATTTTTTCACTTTGAATGTTCAAAAACAAAAAGCGAAAACGAAAGAATATTACGTTTTCAACTACAAATACGAAGGGATGTATTGAAAATTCTAAAATTGTGATGGATGATGCTGATTTGGCGAGACAAGACCAGGCAAGAGAAAACTTCTCTCAGCATTCTTGTCAAGACGAGAGAAGTATTTTCTCTCGATTAGTTGAATATTACTGGAGTTTTTTCCCAACACCAAATCGTTATTTTTCAGGGCATTCTATTTTAAAAAATGGAATTTTGGTCTGTAGCACCTACACCAAACACCCTGTATATTTAAAAATTATATCAAAATATAGCTCTCATGAACTCCTGAAACTTTTGTATGAAACATTTTTTTGTATTTCCTTCAACAAACCAGATATTGCCTGTCACATAAAATGTGGGACACCCGGTATATACCACCCTTGCTGCCAACCAACTGGTTGGTATGTAGTTCCACGTCAGACTAGCTCTCTACAATTTTGTGAGAATAGGTAAAATTATGTCCAGTCTGTTTTTGAAGAAGAGCTGGAAATATACCATCCTCTTCGGGAGATTTGAAGGGCTGAAAAGGCTTGATAGCCCATTCAACTGCCGGTGCTGTGATAACCTTCTTTACGACATCTCAATCGTTCTTTTTTGGGCGTTTAGTGCCCTCGAAGATGGGAGGTCTGTTATCAAGAGTCAGATTTCTAGGAGAGAGGTTTTCTATCAAAAGCTCTAACGTTTCTTTACTAGAGGTCGTAAATGTTCCATCGGGTCGTTTAAGCGACCCAATTTCAGCAGTTGGCTCTCTAGAGAGAATCTTGTGAATTGTTGTGCTGCGAGGTAAATCAGAAATACTCTCACAGAACTTCCTCCAAGACTCCCGTTTTGCCTTTCTGGTTTCCTTGTTGTTTACCGTTAGAGTAGTTTTATAAAGCTCCCAGTTACCTGACTCTTTAGCTCGATTGAATGAACGTCGAACTTTTTTTCTTTCATTTTCTAGGCTTTTGTTCCACCAAGAAGAGTTGGTGGACATCCGAATAAGACAAAGATTTACATTTTACTAGTTCAGACTCACATTGTATGATGTGATTCTAATATGATTCGAAATCTATGGAAGAACAAATAAAATTATAATGAATAAGACAACTATCAATTATGTACAAGCAATATGATAGCCTAACCTAACCGTGTTAGAAATCACACGTTAAAAGGTAAGACCTCGTTAATCCTTAGCTCGCACAAGTTTCGACTTCTGAGGGTTGTCGTTCGTAGGGGGTGCGACAGCTGATTAACGGAAAAACAGATTTTGAACAGATTTTTTTTAATATCAGGGATTTCGAATTAGACAATGGAAGTCCGAACTAATAAAATTCATCATGAAACATTGTCAACCACATTAAAACAGACAAAGATATGTAGATTTTGCAAAAAAGTAACTTTCAGACAGAAACTGGAAGAAAAAGCCCTTCTCGAAATAACTAGTTCCATATAAATATTGAATTACACGATAGAAAAATACTTTAGAAATAACTACTTTTATATGAACATCGAATTATACAAAGAACACTTTTCTCTATTTAGTTTGTATTTCAAATATTTGTTATGAAATAACGTATTTTTCTTTCATGTAATTCAATCTTCATATGCTGTTTCGAGAGGCCTTTTTTCACTGTTTGTGTTTGAAAGTTACTCCACTGCATGATCTACATATATTTGTATATATTCATTTCTTTGAAATTGATTTCTTTCTTTGGAAGATTTCCTTTTCATCGTTTTGAATTGATGGATGTAGGTTGTAGGAAATTATCATGAAAAATATGAAGTAAAACTTTCTATGCTTTTTTAATGTATTCGTTTCAGAGTGTCCTTATAGGACGAAACTGCAGTACCGTTAGTAACAATTACAAATGGTAAAAAACAGGAAGTTTTGTTTCTCATTTTCCTTTTTATTGTACGACGATGAGTAAGTAGAAAGCCAAAACCTTTCCCAAAAATTATTCTCGCTTAAAAATATATCCCTTTCAATTACATCATATTGAATAGAAATGATGATTTGTGTTATTTCGTTGGGAGAATGATTCTGCGTTCTTTTGACTGGCCTGTAAAATTGACAGTTCCATTTGAAATTCTTGACAATTGTCTACATCTGGCTGAACTGGCAGAGTTAAACGGTACGAGATAATATCCGCCTCAATTTTTTTCATTTTGAACATCAAATTGAATGATTTGGTTTTTACGAGGTATACACGAAAAATAAAAAAACAAAAATGTAAACGTAGGTACCAAATACTCACCACAGATGTAACGAGGACAACACAATGCGAGATCTTGACTGCTAAATTTTCCGCAATCTGGTATAGGAATGGGACAATTTGGTTTCTGACATGCAATGTTTCCATAAAAACAGGTACAAGTTGTACATGGAGAATCAGATGCAATTGACTGGCCATGAATTATTTCTTCACCGTCATGGGTAATACAATTTGCTGAAAAACAGTAAAATCAACTTATTACTAGTTTTTGGAAGAAATGGAACCATATGCCTAGTGCTGGGATTGAATTATCTTGAAGAAAACGTTTACATTTCGAATAAAAAAACATCTAACAACGGCTCAGCTTATTCATTCCATGGCAGAAATGGGAATTCACTGATAGCATATAGATAGATCTCTATTGCCAGTTTTGAACTATTGTTGTATCTTGGTAATTATAATTATGAAGTGGGTAACATGATTCTCCACCCATCTTGGGGACCAAATCTTCCCAGTTAATCAATATTGTCTCAAACATGCTCACACAATATCTAATAAATGTTTTATAGCTTAATTTGAAGAATGGGAGCTGCAGTGAACATATGGGAAAAATGACTTAAATATAACTAAACTTTTTCGAAGAGACCATTCATTGCAGCAGCGTTATTATAGTGTGGACCATGTTATAATATTCAATAACGAAGTACTGCAGGATCGATATTTGCCCTTCTGAAGTTATACAGGAATATACAGTTGTACAGGGAAAATGGAAGTTTCATTAGGAAAGAGATGTTTCGGCTTTCTACTTCTCCATCTTTATACAAAAAAATGAAGAATGGAAGAAAGCAATCAATTTCAAAAAGGTAACTCTATACAAAGATGTGTAGTTTGAAGGTGATTGAGAATGTTGTAACGTTTTCGTTTCCACCCATTGCGTTTATTTTTGTTTTAAGGTGATCAATGTTTCACCCTGTATATTGCTCCAGTTTAGGAACTGCAAAAGATAGTAATATATTCACCAACTAGTTTTCCTAAACCACCAAATCTGATAAAAACGTATCAACCCACCTCCCATGTACACATGTACAGTGTCCACGCCCATGTAAATAATCATAAATGTATATAGTTATTGGAATAATCTTGAGCTGACTGGTTCAACGTTTATTTTCAAAGCCGTATATTGGTAAATTGTCAAGAAGCACCTATAGACTCGCAAATGATATTCTGTGTTGACAAATTTACCTTTCCGCATTCCATCTCTCTTTTCTTCTAATAAACTGTTAGACTTCGTTCAGTTCCGATGGTCTCTAGTGTGTGAACTCTATGGAGATCCCACAAATTTGACAGAAATATTTCTCAGAAGGACAAGCAGTCGACAAACTGAATTCAGATAGAGAGTACCCATCCCTTTCAATTAGAAGCGAATCCATGTTATGTGATGTATAATGGCAGTACCCTTTTGTGTTTGAAAAATATTATCTCTCGGAGAATTTAGTTGTCGATTCATTTGCAGCAGAGAACTCTCTTGGTACCAGAGGTGAGTCCACCACTCCATTGTGTTTTTATAATTCCAAGAATATTCTCGAATATTCTTATAGGGTTTTTCTTTCCTAAGAAAAATTTTCTCAACCTAATCCTAATCCCGAAGGATTTGCAAACGTTAACCAGGGCCACGAGGGTGTTCCTATTCACTGATTCGGCTCTATTTATCCATTTGGATGTCCTCTTTGACTCCTAGCAAGTGACAAGACGAAAAGAAAAAATACAACCACTCCTCCTTGCTTACTGCTTGAGGATCTCACCTGCTCTGCTATTGTTACTTCATAAGAATCAACGTTGGATGAAAGGCCAGTTATAGATGATAGAGTTCTTTCAGTATTGTAGTTTTGATTTGATATTTAAGTTCTTACATTCAATATTGAACTGTTTATATTTAACCATTCAAACATATTTATATAAATTTGCTATATATCTCAATATTCCAGCCCTTTTGAGGTAACATAACTCACAAAAACATTTTATTCCCCAATAGGAAAAATTCATGAATTTTGCCCTGGGTACACACTTCTTCTTATATACAAACATCGGAAAAGTCTAGAGATATTTTTAAAAATGGCAATAATTTTTTTTTAGATCGCTTTAGGGAAAAAAAAGTTGATGGGTGATTATTAAATGAATGTAACTTACAACAAAATTTATTAAATGGTCAAAAATACTGAGTACGCATATAAGCAAAACTAAAAAAATATGGCTCTTCTTTGGCACCCCAAAAAAAAATCATAATACAAAAAAAAATTGGAATCAGTACAAAGTATGGCCTCCACGCTGGTTTATTACGGCCCTACATCTATCGTGCGTCGAGAAAATGAGATTGTCAATGTCTTGTTGAGGTACATTTGCCCATTCAGCGATTGAAAGCTCTCTCAATTGAAACGTTGTGTGAATGTTCCCCATATGCGGAGTAATTCTTCGTTGAAGCATGTCCCACACATGCTCGATGGGATTCAGGTCCGGTGATTGTGCTGGCCATGGCAATACATCAACTCCTTCGTTGGTGAGCCAGTCAGTCACTAGACGCG